TATTATTTTTAAATTTCAACTGCATAGACTTGCTTTAAAAAGTGCTATTGGCGTAAAAATTCCATAATAAGCTTATAAGTACCATTTTCCATTTGTCCGTCTTCAATTCTTCAATTTTAATTCTTATTTGTATGAAAATTTAAAGTGGCACGCATATAATAATTTTTTTTTTTTGTCAAACAGTGGCACACTCTCCAACAAAAGGTTGACCACCTCTGGTTAACAATATTCTCTCCAAATGCCTGGTTTATTTTGCGTGCAGAACTTTCAGCGTTATCATGAAATTTATACAGAAGGGGGAGGGGGACACGAATATGGGTTGAATTCATATTCTTACGAATTTCAAAACAAATAACAAAATGAAACACTTTTGAAAAGATTTTAATTGAAATTTAACTCTGGACAACAGGTCTATAAACGAGGTTTTGCCAAAAACAAAAGCATAGCGAAATCAGGGAGAATGTGAAAACCCGTGTAAATAAAAATGTTCACTTTTATAGAAAATCCTACCTTTCAGATACACCAACCTAATATAAGATGATAGAAACGCGCGAATGCATTAAAATCAAATTTTGCTTATCGCCCACCATTTCGACATTATATAATTTTAACATTTACTAATTTATTTAGAATTTCTGAACTTCTAAAACTGAATAATTGATGAATTGAATTAAATGACGATTACAAATTTGAATTAAATCAAACGTTGTTTAATTTGAGTTACGCGTTGTTTGACCTACGTGTATTTATATATGTAGAATATTGTTGCAAAATAATTCTAAATTGCTTTGCTATATTTATAATATATTGCTAAATAGTGCATATAAGATACATTATTTGCATGATTTTATTTTTTGGATATGTAGCTTATTTCACCTACTTAACATATGAAAAGTTATAATAATTTCGCTGTTTGATGCAAATTTTATTCAAATAGTATTTTTATAATTTTGGTTTCTACTAATATATATGTTACCGTTTAAGTGTATAATTCAGTTATTTCATAAAATAACTGGGTATTTCATGGAATAACTAGACAAGGCAGTTAAAATATATAAAGGAGAAAAATTTATTACTTTACCTAGTTATTCTATGAAATAACTAATGATAAACCGTTGAAGTAAAAGCATACAATTTCAAAATTATTTTATAAATGAATTGATTATAAATAGTTAATATATCTCGAAAAATATATTGTATCCCTTTTGCGAATGATTAATTGATAAATAATAAGAAAAAGCTTATAATATAATTTATTATTGCTCATATTGCTAACATTAGATAATCAGAAAGGGGAAAAAATATGTTACAGTAATAGTTGTATTTCTTTTGATAGTTGTTTGACTGTTGCTTTTTAAAAACATTGCGTAAATATTTTCAAAAAAAAAAAATGTAAGATAATATTTTAATTTAAATTTTATGGAATACCTTTATTTTACTTTTTATTATTTACTAGAGCAAGGATTGCTATGATGACATTTCGAATTTTGATTCAAAACTAAAATCATCGAGAACCGGTTCGAAGATCTTTCGAGTGCCGTATTTCATACTTTAACGATGAAGTAATCGCTATTCTATAGAATACCTAGTTAAATCGTAAAATTCAATAATTTTATATTATTTAACTCAATTGTCTAGTTATTTCATGAGATACCTATTTATTCTATGAAAAAACGGATTTCTTACGTTAACGGTAACATATATAAATTAATGCAATTGGCGTTATGTTTGAAAAATGGAATTTTTTTTTTAGAGTAATTCTATATATCTGAATCATCTATTCTGTATCTTTATTTTACAGGTTTGTTTTTGTGCGTGTGCATAGTTAGAATTTGTGCGGTTTACCTCTCGTGGATGTATAATTTATTCTGAAGCTTTTTCCTAAAGAAATACCCTGGACATTGCTTTAAGGTAAGGATGTTTTAGTTTTTTTTTCTTCTAATGAAAAATAATTACCGATATATTAGGTTTAGATTGCTTTAGAAAACATTGCATGTTCATTAGGTTTAGCACTTGCTTTCTGGACAATCTGATTCGAAAAGAAAATTAATGGAATAGTAAGTAGTGATAAGTAGAATGTGTGGATAAGTAAAATGTGTGTACAATGTGTGTGTGTACTTTAATAAGTGATATATAGAATGTTACTTACTGCACAGTCAAATTCAGTACTTAATGTTTCCAACGTCTTTCTTTTGAATCTTAATAAATATGGCGATATAATTTTAATCATTAAAAAACGATGCCATTGTCTTAACAAATAACGGATTTTTTGGGGTATAAGATTAAATATTTGTTTACTCTGTACACATCACAATATGTCTATGTTGCCATTAAAGTATATATAATCAGTTATTTCTTAGAATAACTAAGTATTTCATGAAATAACTAGACAATTCAGTTAAAGTATGCAAAAATGATAAATTTTGTACTTTACCTAGTTAACCTATGAAATGAGTAGAATAAATAATGGTTAAGTGAAAAATATAAACAATATCACAAAGTTATTTTATAATTAACTGATCATAAATAGCTAAAACCAGTCGAAAATGCGTTTTAGCTCTATTGCGCATGATTAATTGATAAATAATACGGAGCTGCAGATGAAGCAAAACGTATTATTGCATTATAAACATTAGTTAAACAGAAAGGAGGGGGATATGTCTTTGTATCTATTACTGGCACAGTTAACTTTTCTACTCCTTGAACTTCATGGATACCATAATGCGGAGTAACCAATAGTCACGTAGCACTTTTTCCTGTGATATTTTAGAACTTTCTACTTCTGCTATCAAAGTTAAAAGTTTTCACGAGTAAGTGCAGAACTTTTATCCTTTGTCCCAGACTTATTTAAGAAAGATTCAAATCTCTCGTATTGAATTTTTCTTATTTACACGTTAGTTTTCCATTCTGGCAGAATGGAAGAAATCATTGCTTGAAAACAGGTTGAAGAAATATTTATTAATAATCCAAAATGTTAAACATTGACATAAATACATCCGCCTAAATTCTACGTTAAATCAACGGAATGAAGTGTACACACACACTCACGTCATTGCAAAGCAGCTATTAACGGTTCAAAACGGATTAAAAGCAGCTGGAATCGGTTTAAAAAAACTTTCGAGTGCTATATTTTATACTTTAATGATCAAATCGTTATTCTATAGAATACGTAGTTGAATCGTCGAATTCAATATTTTTATATACTTTAAATGACTTGTCAAGTTATTTCAAGAAATACCTAGTTATTCTATGAAATAGCTTTAACGGTGACATATATAAGGTGTTATAACTCCATCTCGAATTAAGCAATATTTCAACCTAATTATTTGTTAACACATAATCATAATTTTAAATATTTTGCAAGTTAAAATTGGATGTAACTAAAAATGATTTTGGCAACACTTCTGAGTATATCTTAAGCTATTCTTTTTTACCCTTTCTTATATTTATGCGTAAAAAGTAAAAAAAAATTCAGCTAAGAACGTCTTGTACATGCAAAAAGTTCTAAAATTGCTCATGTAATTAAATTTATTCGTAAAATGTATTTTGAGTAATTATGTCATTGCTGATAGGCGAGATAGTTTCTTCTCTAAAGAAAAAAAAAAGCTGTGCGTTTTATTGAGTAGATTTAATAAAATTAGTTTCTTTTTGCTGTCTTAATTTAATATCTTGTAATTTTAAAGCCGATTCTGTGTAGATTTAAGTTTCACAACTCAAGCACTTATAAATTTGAAAAAAAAAATTCCCTAATTTTTATAAAAACAAATAAATCCTTCATACTAAACAACTGAGATATTTGTTTGCATTGGGAAGTTTTTGAATTAATGATAATTTTCTTAAATCACGAATTAAATCTTTTTCTTTCTACTTCAAATGAAATTTTCGCTAATGTATGTTAAATTTAACGAATTTTTACAATTTTGTCATAAATGTAGTTTACTACAGTTTTTTTTAATTCCTACTATTAATTCACGTTCTCCCTCTATATATATGCAGTCGAACCTCCATATTACGAACCTCTCTATATTGTGAATTTTTCTATATAGCGAAATTTTTCCTGGAACGAAGAACATTTCTCAATTTTCTTCGTAAAATAACTTCTCTATAGCGAAGTGCGTTTTCTATATATTACGAACTTTTTCTCTTGTGATTCAATTTTTGTTCTCCCTATTTTTAAAGTATTTCTGGACACCTCAAGTTTTTTCTCTTTTAACTCATTTTATGGTGGTCATAAATCATGAACTGGTTTTATTAGGTGCCTACCTCGCCGAGAGTAATAGAATTCTGGGCGTTTCATCCAAGACGCGCAAGCTTTAACCCCACTATCCAGTTCACTGAAAACATCTTCTATATCCTCTTTCACCCTCAGTGTAGTAGTATCGTGTCCCCGAACTAGTTTCCGTTCATTTGTAGTGTTGATCAGACGTACTTGTAACTTCGTTCCTTGTAAAGAAGTTATTATAGCTCGAAAATGTCAAAACGTCAATGCTTGAGCATTAAAGAAAAATAATTAATTATGCAGGAAGTGGATAAAGGCGTCACGTAACTTTCCTTGCAGTTTTTCTTTTTTGGTAGTTAAGATATATGAAATAAATATATATTAATTTCCAATAAGGTGTGAATAATTACTTTTTAAATATTTAGTGTTTATGAATTTAAATTTGTTTTCTTTCGTTTAGAAAGAAATTTGAAAGAGGAACCTCTACGTAACGAATTTTTCATATAACGAACCATTTTTCGGTATTTAGCGACTTCTTTATATAGAGGTCCGACTATATATATATATGTACATATATATATGTACGTTCAAACGTTAATAAAATACCTTTTTATCATCCATTGAAGTTCAAATACATTTTTTAAAATTAGTAGTGGATGGCACTTGATGTTAATATAGTTTTTTCAAATATTAATTAATTCATTAAATTTAATGAATAAATAGTAACAAACAAAAATAATAGTCCAACACCATATATATAAAAGAAAATCGCTCGCTTGGTGTCCCTGCAGCGAATGGATAACGCGTTAGGCTTCTAATCTAAAGGTCGTGGGTTAGAATCACAAGCCTGGGATGGCCTAATTTCTGAGAATGTGATTTCCTTTTACTATACTATTTTATTAGAATAATTAAATTTAATAAATGAATAAATAGTGACAAAAAAAAGTCCAACACTTTGCATAGGGGGGGGAATGGAAAATTGCTATTAAAATCGTTTTTTATTTTGTCACTAAATAGTGGGATTCTGTCAATGTATACACATATTTATATTAATTGTAACTATTTAACATAAAGTAACTAAAATAAAATTTTTGAATTTGATGTTGATCTTGAATTTATATATATGTATTATTTGTTTCTTTTTGAATTACTTGGCTAATAAAGTAATCTTGATGTAACAGATTACTTAGTTTGCGATGTAACATCTTACGTCTTAATGTAATAGATTACTTAGTAGCCAAGATAGAATGAATAAATATTTCAAAAGCTTTTCCTTTCCCCCCCTTCTCTGTTGAAAATTAAATTTGAGAAATTTACAGAAGAAACGTGGAGCATCATCGTGAGAATTATTCAATAAATTTAGAAATAACATCTTTTGACTGCATGTGATTAAAAGTCTGAATTTATATTTACGAATCACCTAAACAATATTTTAAGCGCGTAACCATCGAGAATGAAATAACGTAAAGGGAAAAAAAGAAAAGTAACTTAATTTCTCTGCGCCTCGAAAACAAACTAAATCGATTCTAAAGAAACATTTCTTTATTTCGTATCTCTCTTTATTTTTACAATTTTCGATCCCCCTTTTTTCTTGCACATAAATCCAAGACGGGCGTTAAGAGTTCCATTCGGATTCTGTGTTAGAGCTTGCACGCAACAAAGCCGTTATAAGCATAATCGTTTGCCAGCGAGTAAATGCTATGTCTCGGAAATATATATATTTTTTTATTTGTAATCCAATAAATTGTTGTAAATTTTTTCAATTTTTCTATAAGAAAATTTTATTAAAAGAATTTAAAAATTTTATGTTCGTGGGTCCATCAGCTTCGAGGAGGGGGGAGGGGAGAAGAATGACTCATAATCTTCACATTTATGAACATTAGATTCCATATTTGATTTTCTTTCACAAAATTATTTTGTAAATTTTAGTAGTATTGGTTGTTTGGTGGGAAAATTTTCTATGTGGTGTAAAAAAAAATTTTTTTTTTAAATTGACTTACGAATGGCGTACTGTTACGAAGCTCATGAGCTTGAGTCCTGATTTTATCGTAAACCATAGTTAGTAATTGTGAAATATGCTGCAAGTTGTTAGTCTTGCAGTAAACCGCTTTAGGAGGGTGGTGGGGAGGTTGCGTGAGCGTAAAAGATAATTACAGGTGTACTTCTGTTTCAGAAATTCTCTTTATTTTCTTATTTTATTTCTAAATTCTTGAACTTTTAATGTGACCTACTGTTAGACTTTGGTTGAACTACTGGTCCACTCTGATGAGAAGCTCAATTTTCACATGTACATATACCCAAATAGCCGGACTCTCGTATTGGCCAATCTAAATGCTTCCTCTCTTTTTAAACTAAATTTCATTGCAAAATTTTTCTCCTTCGAACTCCTGCTGCATCCGGACATGCTAGGCTTGCTCCGCCCACCAACTTTTAGAAAGTAGTTATACGATTTTTATTGTTGCTGTTAGAAAAGCTTCTTTTCAATATAATTTTAGCTTTCTCACCTTAAAAGTAAATATTTTTTTAAAAATTTCAATAGTAAAATTTTATCATTTCAAATATCTTAACGTACACGGGACAATAGAAAATTCTGTATCGTCTGCTAAAAATATCCGATAGGAGATTAGAGTCCGACAGGGCTAAGAGCCCCATTTAGTTATGCCCAACGTCATGTTCTTTTTAAATCAAGAAGTGATGGCTATTAGAATATTCTTGCATACAATTGAATGCATAATACTAGGACTTAGATATCAATGTATAAACAGTGTATAGTCATTTATCATCATGAAGTACCTAGCAAAACCCGCGGTTATAGCGACTAGTTTTTTATGTAAAAAGTAAACACGCTCTGTTAGCTCATTACTATGAATTCTAGTTTTTTTCTTTCCGTGACACTAATTACATTAAAAACGTGGGTAGAGCAATTTAAAAAAAATGTTCATTATGGTTAATTAGCTGTAAATGTTTTGCTTCGTATTTCGTGATTTATATCTTATTTATATTTTTAGTTCGTCAAAATATTTATTCTTGTTGATAGAGTTGCATGTGAAGAAAGTTTCCGAAGCCCTGTTCAGTGTCAGAAAGCCCTTAAACCTGTGCGTGAATCGATATAAATCCTAGAATAGATTGTGGCTTCGGTAACCTATGGATTATGGTCACGAACTTGAGGCGTCATGAGTTTGGACCCTGTGTAGAGAAACCGATGCACGTTAAATCTGTCGAGACTCGGAAAGTCCTCATGATGGCATGATGTTGTAGATAGGAGAAGAGCTCGCAGCTCAGATGTCGTCGTCGTTACTTGACCGAGGTTAAAGATCACGAGGTCTATCGCCAACAGCTTTCGTTTTGCTTTAGAATGTGACGTTAATATAATTCTCATTCATCTAGAATAGATAGGATCATGGAAATTCTAGAAGTCTTTGAAAAGTTTTAAGAAGTTTGTCAGCTTGGCGGAAAAAATATTTTTGTGTTACAAAAATGTTATTGTAACATTCTCCGCAGAATATTCAATGATAACATTAGCTTTATTCGTAAAAAGAGGCTTATGAGTACTGTAATATCATGAAGCCCGAGGTAAACAAAAATCTCCTAGAATGTTTTTAAGAGATGAAAAAAAGAATTGTATATCGACTTATATAGATACAAATACTTTAAAAAAAATAGTCTAAGTATTTGCTGTCTACAGTTTTTTAAACCAGGCTATTTTGACAACGTAAAATATTTGAGCAATTGTTTGCATTCAGAACAGAAAACAGGATTTCTGTTATTCATAAACCGTAGTTCTGTTGAAGTAATCCATTGATAACGGAATTTTTTGTTAAATCGGGAGTGAGATTTCTTGTTTAAAAAAAAAAAATTCTCCGCACTGTCTGCCAGTTCATGTTAGCCAACTTGTACCTATATTTACTTTTGTTGATTTTCATGCAAGAAAAAAAAAACAGTAATCACAAATGTATGTTTACACAAATATAGAGAATATTCGGAAAATCTGTTTTATATTGTCAAAACTTACTTATAATAGAGTATTAAAAAAATACTACACAAATTTCTTGCTCAGGTTTAAGTTATATTATTTTGAATTTTTTATTTTTCGTTTAGCTCGTGTTTTTATTTTATATTTATTTAAACCCATCGTAACAAAATAGGAAATGCAATGTTAAAACCCGGCAGCTCTTTTTAATGCTGATATAAAAGCTTTTTTTCATAATAGGATTACCTATGAATTTCTTCTCCTAGGAGGTTAAGAAATAACTGTAAATTTTCTTGCAAAAAAGTTAAAAGTAAGAAAAATAAATAAAATAAAAATAAGCGCTCTATAAACGTTGCCACAAAGAAAACCCCTAGTAAATCTTTTAAATAATTTGTTTAATTAGAATTATTCTTCGTTGTGTACTAATCTTTTTAAGACTAATTTTGCCAACATGCAAGTAATACATATACTTTCTTCGCGCTTAAATATGTATAATGGAATTTTTTTTTCAAGAATATTTCTGCAATTTTGTTCATTTATTATTCACTTTGCTAAATTGTAAAAGCATACTTGTTTAAATCGCAGTTTATTTTAAGATATAAATTCGAAACATTCGAATATATTTTATTTAAAAGTGCAAGTGCATAACAAGAGATCGTTTGGCGGAAAATAACATAATTACCGTAGATAAAAATAAGCGAAATTTAAATAGAACATCTGTCGTTACTGCGGCACTGAAAATAAACATTTTAAAACGTTGTTTCATTTGTTGAAATAAATGATGCGTACAGTTAATCATGGAAACTGAATTCAATTTTTTAAAGTCAATGATTGTTTGAAATAATAAAAATCACTCATTGTATCATGGAAGGAAAAATGATTCTTGTATTTTTCGTAGACTCATTTGTTTTAAAATTTTTATTTTGGATTATGCTGTACAATAAGCAAATTGTATGTGTGTGTGTGTGTGTATTGGACTCCTTTTTTTAAAAAAAAAATGTCTAAAATATGTGTTTGTTACGTTTGTCTCGCGTGTAGTATTAATTTAATTCCGTTTTTAATATTGTTTATGTGGTAATCTTTCATCGAAAAAAATATTTATGTCGGGAAAATTTCATATTTTGTTTCTCTGTAACTATGACTTAGTGTTTTGTGTTGCATATTCGCTAGTTATTGTTGTGGAAAATAAAAATATGCTAATGCTTCATAATCTTGTAATTTTGACTGGTTACTTTGTTTCTAACACTTCATTCCTTTCAAAATATTTATAGAATATGTATGGGCGAATAGTCATTTTCTTTATTATGAATTAAATAGCTTCAAGTTAAGTGGGCCATGTCATATATAATCTGATATTTTCCTGAATATGAAATAATATTTCGGTTAAATGGGTTTCCACATTCTCTCCGTCTCCACCTCCTTTGCTACAGTGCAATGCCTCTCTTCTCGACAAATTTAAAAAAAATCAAAATGGCAAGAAAGTGCAGATTCTGCATTTGGCAACCGTGTACAACAGAGGTGGCGAACCCGCGGCCTGGTGGCCGCATGTGACTTCCGTGAGTTTCTTGTGAGGCCATCATAAAATCTAACACTTCTATTAATTAATATTTAATTATATATAGATTACAACAGTTTGTAAATCAATGGAATTAAATAAAGAACTGCATGAATGTAAATATATACGTGTTTCAATGAGTTCTCGTGGGAATAGCCGATTGTACATTTCAAATGTTAGAACGCCATTTAGTGTGCAACATGGCAACTCTACCACACATGCTCATGTAGAGGAAGAATTAAGGCGTCACGTTATGAAATTTAATCCAATTATATGTATATTTTATATGCTTACATTTCTCATTTGCTTTATCACTCTTTAATTTTCCTC